GTGTGTGTGTGTGTGTGTGTGTGTGTGTGTGTGTGTGTGTGTGTGTGTGTGTGTGTGTGTGTGTGTGTGTGTGTTAGTTATAAGTGCTTACGGGTAGATAAACTGTATAATGTGTGAGCTTGGATTGAATAAAAGTAAAACTTTGAATAAGCATTATATCAGCCCTAGTTTGCTTGTACTCCACTTCAGTAGTGATGTCCTTAAACCTGTAGACTAATTGCTACACATTGTAGCAATTAATAATAACAATAGCAACTAATAGTTGCTGTAGGCTCTTTGCCTTACAATGTACAGTTCCTTGAGGCATCTGTTGTGATGTGGTGGTATATAAAAAAAAAAGTCAGCTAAATTAAATTGAAAAAGCATACGACAAAAGTGCCTGTGAGACTTGGTGAACGAGGCAGGTTGTACAAAGCGCTTTGAGGACTCGGGTAGATTTGAAATATAAGAACCTGTCTATTTACCACGAAGCAGGGAAATGTCCTTCTCTTTCAAATAACGTGCGTGTTGTTTCTCCAGGTGGTGATGGGCTACTCTCACTCTCTGGTCATTGCTAGACAGGATACTGAGCAGGAACAGGAGAAACTTAAAAAGCTGCCTGAGTACAACCCCCGAACAATCTGAAGGGCCCACCAGCAGTGACACCTCAACCCATTTCACAGAGCAGAGGAACAACCATGTGATCAGCAGGAATACCTGACCTGTTCAGTCGCTACTAGTCACGGCATCGTGCTAGTGGGATGGTTGAGTTGAGGGGAGAGGTGTTCACGAGTCTGAAGGTTATCCACACATCTCGACTCCCAACAGACTCCACAACAATTTGGACACTCAAATCAGAGAAGATGGGACTGGAGACTGACAGATGCTCTGGATGGTCCAGCTCTCACAATGAATGGTCAAGATATCTTTACTTCCCAATGAGCCTGCAACGGTTTGTTCTAAGCACATCTCGTCCAGCAAAGTTGTGCTTCCCAAAAAACCCATTCCAGTTTCTTTTCTCATTCATGTCGGGTCTCTTAATTCTGTTTGTTTGTTTCAGTATTGATAGTTGTGACATTTACAGGTGCTACTCCAGGAGCCCTCGGTCTTTTCCTACTGGGGGCATTTTAAAGACCAACACTCCATACCTGTGCCTTTTTCTACATGTATGTTCAGGTTATGGAATTCTTGTTTATTTGGTTCCGAGGATCAGCTGATCCATCTTGTCTGTGGCAGTGTGACCGAGTGTTTGCGACTGCTGCAGATTATAATCAGGATTTGGAACATACACTGTGTCTCATTTTGAATACTTGCAGTAATACACTTCCATATAGTGCACTTAAGTACTTTGTTGCAGACTGCATTAAGGTCGACAGGATAGTGTTTACCCAGATTAAACACAGTTGGTTGTATACTCTCCACTGACTGAAGTTGTCTTGATGTTTGGCAGCCATCTTGGTAATGCCTCTGGGCAGCTATTCTGAAGCTTCTTTTGATTGAATTGAAGGTTTGACTTTAGTGTTCACCAGGACCAAACTGCATGCATAGAATCGTAAGTCAAATCTGATTAAAACACTTTTGGAGACTGCCCCAGAATGAGGTTTAAAAAGCTTTTTTTCCTTTGCAAATTATACTTGGAGTATCCACGTGCAGTTTGACAACACCACAGCTTTATTAACAACTGCCAAAAGTCTGAAAAATGCCAAGCTTATTGTTGTTATGGATATACAGGAAACTAAGAAAAGATGATCTGGTGCAACAACACGGATGGCTCTTATGCATCCTGGTCCAGCTGTTGAGTATACCATTCAGGTACTCTGTTTACTCTATGCAGTCGCACTTGTCATTGTGAGCACACTTATGCATTAAATAGTAAGTGTATGGAAGAATATTACCTGAGACACAGCAGCCATGTTCTGTGCACTTCATGTTGATGTTACATTCCTTGTTTCTTCAATGTTTGCATCAATGATGCGCGCCTCAGTCCTTCCAAGACCACAGAGTCTCTTAGCTCTTTTTTTTTCTCTTGTTTATTTCATTAAGTTTAACTTTTACAGCGCTCTAAGCAATTTCACAAACAGGTCTGAACCTTCAAAACCACCAATGCACTGTCTAAACTCGTTCAACGTGATAAGGTGCAGTGCGTTCTTTTTAATGGTGAAATTTCTCTGGGTTATGTTTTTGTTTGGTTTGTTTCTTGCTTTTTTTTTTTATTTCATTGAAATGGTTGAATAAAGATTCCTGTAAATGAATTTGTCTGTGCAGTCAAACCTCTACTCAGGTCAGATTGAACAAAACAATTCAGCCATCCATCCGCCTCAGAGGTGGGGAGGTTGTTCAGTTTTATTTGTACAGTACCAAACAACAGTTGCCTCGTCGTGCTTCATTGTAAGGTTAAGACCATCCGAAAATACAGAGAAAATCCAAACAATCTGATGTCCTCTATGAGCAAGCACTTTGGTGACAGTGGGAAAGAAAACTCCCTTTTAACATGAAGTCTACAGCAGAACCAGGCTCAGAGGGGCGCTCATGACCAGGAAGACCGGACAACACTGTAGTGGAAGAAAACCAGAGAGAAATAATGACTGATTTAATGCGGAGTAGTGTAGAAACAGAAAGAGGGGGGGGGGTTCCTCACATCAAAGGAAGCCCCCCAGCAGTGTAACTAAGGGAGGATTCAGGGTCACCTGATCCAGCACTTGCATAGTTTTAAGCCTAATCCAAAAGGTAGAGGGGGAATCTTGTTTTCCAAATTCAAACTGGGAGCTGGTTCCACAGAAGAGGGGCCTGAAAACTGAAGGCTGTGCCTCCATTCTACTTTTAAATACTCTAGGAACAAGTAAATTAACAGCCTACAACGTCTTTATGATGAGCCTGATTTTTCAAGACCTTGTATGAGATGAGAAATTTGATTCTGGATTCAACAGGGAGCTAATGAAGAGAAGTCAGTGCAGGTGAAATATGCTGCAGCATTTTGGATTAACTGAAGGTTTTTCAGGCAGTTTTTAGGACTTCCTGTTAATAATGAATTACAGTAGTCCAGCCTAGAAGTAATAAATGCATGAACTACTTTTTCAGCATCACTCTGAGACAGGATATTTCTAATTTTAGAGATGTTGCACGAATGGAAGAAAGCAGTCTTACATATTTGTTTAATATGTGCATTGAAGGACATGTCCTGGTCAAGGTTCCTCACAGTGTTACTGGAGGCCAAGGTAATGCCATCCAGAGTAAGAATCTGGTTAGAAAAAACATTTTAAAGATCTTTAGGGTCCATGTTTGCCTTAAAATGGTGGCTGTCTGAGTGGTGTCCAAAAATGTGGGCTTCATAGATCATTTGGAAATTTTCTGGGGAAAACATGATCTTTCTAAGAGACACAGAATCCATCCCAGTTTGGATGGAGCAGCTCTAATTTCTAGAAACCTGGACAAACTTATTGTACCTACCCAAAACGTGACTATAGTGGGGGCCAGTCTTACACACCTCTGCAGTTTTTCCTCCTCCTGTTATCACCCCATATTATTAGACTCAGCTGGCTAGTATTATGATGGTCCTTCTCTCCCATAGCCTTTTTCTCACCATTTTTGTACCAACACACTACTTTCTGTAGTACAACACTGTTCAACTTTTATGCAGACAAAGTAATCCACAACAGCTGGAACAGCTGTAGGAATTACACCAGCTTTCAAGGCTTGATCAACCTCCATTGCTGCAGAACAGCTTTAAATTGTTAACCTTACTTTTTTAAACCTCTGCCAGCTCACCACTTTGTAACATTTCAAGCTTTCATTGTACTTAAACAACTTGAATTACAATAGATAACAGGACAAATTGGGGTATTTTAAGACGTTTGACCATAACTTAAGCAAACAGCCTGTTTTGAAAGGAGTAGAAAGTTCAGATACCTGTTTAAAACTGTAGGGATTAAAAGCAAAACGTTGTCAGAAAAAAAATAATAATACAGTAATGGTAATGGTACTTCATTACTGTATCGCTCTCATTTTTTCCCCTACATGTATCATTCTCTTTTGCTTTCTACCATCTTTTTCTGCATCATTTGCCTCTAAATCTTGTCTGTACTGTACAGTCGTAGTGTTTGCTGCCCAGAATACACACATTTGATTGGCTGAGTGGTATCATGTGGAATGACATGAAACTGGTCTGTGCCTTTCCTCAGCCACCAAATCACCACCATCAAGACTACGAAAGGAGCAAAACTGGTTTGAGAAACAGGAGAGTGACCCCAAACACACCAGCAAATCCACAACAGATTGTTGTAGTGGGGCCAAAATTGCTCTACAATAATGCAAGACAAACAGAAAACATGTCCTCCTAAAGCTGGATCTACAAGCTAATAAGTCAGAGGGTGTACTGGGTTTGTCACAGGACAGAAAGAACCCTGTGAAGAACTCTTACATTAAATTACAAGCAGTTTGTTTTCAACTCCAGCAGTAATTGACTCATATTTGACCATATGAAGACTCCGCCCACTTCACAACAATGAAGAATGAACAAAATCACATCGCTCAGTTTTATTTCAGCCCATCTGAGCTGCTTAATTTGCAATTTTTTAAAATCTTGTTTCCATGATTCATTGGGTCCTATGTAGATCCTACAGTGAGTGCTCTACAGTGCAGTAACACTGGAATGAATAATGTTGCTCCGGATCTGTCATCACATTATGAAAAAGAACCTTAAACAAAAACTCTGTATTGTAAACAACATTTATTTAAATACACAAAATCAGATTAATTGCCATTTTAATCATCATCTTCTTCCTCCTCTTCATCCTGATTAATCTGGAAGTAGCGGAGCTCATAGCTCTCCTTGGTGTTGGCAACAACACGCAGCCAGTCACGGAGATTGTTCTTCTTCAGGTACTTCTTTGTCAGATACTTCAGGTATCTGGAAAAACAAGAGATGTTGAATCATCAGTTGAATCCCCTTCAGGGAACAGCAGCACGGTGGGTGATAGTAGAGATGGCACGATACCACTTTTTTTATGTCCGATACCGATATCATAAATTTGGATATCGGCCGATACCAATATGAATCCAATAGTGTTTTTTAATCAATAAAACTGTTTTTTTAAATATCTTGCTGCATTTTGTATAAGTTCAAACTCTAAATGCTCAACCAGACCGCGGACAGGTCCCGCACGCCACAGCCGCTCTATCACGTGATGCATACTGTTCCGACGCGCTACGGTTATGAGCAGTTATGCCATGTCGCAAGTTTTGTGAGGTGATTTTTGATATTTAATGGATCGGATTACATTTTTTATTTCTCTCCGATATCCGATCTAGTAATTTATGTCAGTATCGGACCGATACGGATACGTAATATCGGATCAGTCCATCTCTAATGGATAGCTTCCTGGTATATGGAATGTTACAAAAAGCTATGCAAACCTTGCTTTAACAATGCCATGAAAATAGCACATTTTCCCCCCACAAACACAACAGAGTGGTGGTGTGGCGACATCTGAACTCATAACTGCCATTATACCTTTAAGAACTGAATCCTGTTCACCATGGGCCGTTTTCTCATCGATCATGATGATGAACTCCCTAAACATCCATTCCCTGACATCATCATTATTATTGTTAAACTATTTGCTTACGTGGCAAATACATTTATCCATTTTTAGTTTTGAAAAGACTCAGCTTTTCTGGAATCCTCTATTAAATAAAAAAAAAAAGACTAATAAGCTCACTAGCTGTGAAATTAAACTTTCAATTAAACTACAGGTTCCAGTCTTCAGTTGTAATATCCCAGCTCACGTCACATGATGATTCTACTCAATAAAAACCCTGTGCAGCTTTGTTCTTGCACAGCAAGAGAGAAAGTTACATTTCATATAATATATTTGACACTTTATTAGACATCGTTTCATTGTTATTATTTTTACATTTATTAGTCATTCAGGATTAAAGATGTGTGTCAGCTGTCGTTTGACACCGATATGCCACCATATTGTTAATGTCTTAAAATGAAAATGTTAATGTTAGTATTTGTGAATGGCTGCAGCTGCATGAACCCTTCAGCACAGTGAAATCACCAATAGCAGTTTTTAGTAACGTCACATGATCTATATGAAGATGTTGAGTTAACTGGTCTTTACATTTGCTTCTGTTAGTAATGTGGTCTCATCATCTTACTCAGAACTCAGAACTTTACATTAGGATCAAACAACACAGTGATACCTTTTGGAGAAGGGCACCTCAGAGGACACTGTAATCTTGCTCTTGCTTCTCTCAATGGAGACCACACCGCCACCAAGGTTCCCGGCCTTGCCGTTCACTTTAATGCGCTCCTGCAGAAACTGTTCCTGCAATTAACATGTGGTTAAAATGTTACTTTATATCGACGGCTCTATTTATGCTCCACATGAGCAACAAGTTCACTGAAGAGTAACAAGCAAAGTTCTAATAAAACCAACAAAGCTCTTTCGGTGAATGAGTTTGTGGATTTTAAATGCATCAGGCCTTTTTGCTTAAATGAAGCTAACAGTAGTATGGATTATTACGAGCTGTTTTCCAATTGTATGGCTGTGAGTTTGATGGCTACAGAACCCTGGTATTAAACTTGTCCCCAAGTAGATAGTTACATATTCAAAAATCAGTCATTTCTGGGGTTATTCCTTCGGTCTTAATTCATTTTGACTTTTTTGTGCAGCACATTTGACTGTGTTACATGTAACTGCTTTAGAGTCCTGTGTTTCCAGCAAAGCCTTCAATGTTCAAACTAAACGTTCAAGTGTTTTTCCACCTCAAGTCAAAATAACGAGCACTATTTTTATTTAAGCAATAGATCTGCATTTCTTTATCCTAGGTACAGTTACTGGCATTATGAGAACGTTTGTCCTTGTGCACAGCTTTTCTGGTGGCGCGTACACCACATTGCCAAAAGTATTCACTCACCCACCCAAGTTGTTGAATTCAGGTGTTCCAATCACAGCTGTTATGCTGCTGTGTTGACATCAAAATGCTTGTGAGCAATAACCAATAACTGCAGTTTAGAAAGCTAATTAGCATCTAGAAAGCTTCATCAATTGACAGGAGCCACACAGAGAGGAGACCTTTACCTCATTATCTGTTCAACGTGCAGAAACTTGGTTGGTACTTACCAATTTTATTGTTGCTTAAAAGAGAAGAAAAAACCCTACTCTTATTTGTTTTAGATATCATCTTAAACATGTAAACACACTGTTTCTTGCCACTTGCCAGAAAAATTGCCACCACCTCAGCTTTGTAATACATAACCACATTGGCCTTGTTAGTTTGTTCTTAACAACTCGTATAAGTATAACCAGTAACTAAGCATTTCACACTAAATTATAGTGAGTATCAGTAACTAGGTGCTGACAACTACCAGTACTGAGAAAATGCTAATGACATTCATCCTTAGTGGCTGTAGCTCAGGTGGCAGAGCAGGTCAGCCACTAATCAGAAGGTCGGTGGTTCGATCCCAGGCTGCATGCCAAATATCCTTGGGCAAGATACTAACCCCATGTTTGCCTACTGGTGGTGGTCAGAGGGCCCGGTGGCGCCAGTGTCCGGCAGCCTCGCCTCTGTCAGTGCTGTGGCTACAATGTAGCTTGCCATCGCCAGTGTGTGAATGTGTGTGTGAATGGGTGAATGACTGAATGTAGTGTGAAGCGCTTTGGGGTCCTTAGGGACTAGAAAAGCGCTATACAAATGCAGGCCATTTACCATTAGTGTCATGTGGCCCTAAAGACATCTGTAGCAAGAAATGTTACCGACTGAAGAGAACAAGAAAAAAAATATAGTCCGAAGCTTAGGTGTGTGTGTAAAGGTGTGGTTTCCTGAGCTAATCCAAATGGAGGCTGAACTCAAAAAGGGTGTAGAGTGAGCCAGATCTGGCTAGGAATGTCATCTCAAAGAAGCCCTGCAGCTTGTGCAGGACAGCCTTTAGTCTTAAATTGGTAATAAAATAACTCAGAAAAAGTTAGTTTAAAACTTACAAAGTTGGCAGCATCCATGATGCCATCTTCGACAGGGTGCGTGCAGTCCAGTGTGAATTTTAGGACCTGCTTTTTCTTCTTACCACCTTTGCTGACATTCTGCTTCTTCTGCCAATGGAAGGACAAACATTTACTTCACTGCAAAGAACCTCTAGGCTGTCCACTACATTTATATGAACAAAATTTAGTAAAACACCCAACAACAACCAACTGTTAACATTCCAATGTATCAAAATGTTAATTTCCCGTTTGTGCAGTACATAGGTCCAAAGAGCGATTGGTAAAATCTGGTCACCATCACATTCAACTGATTAATTCAAAAATCCTGCAATCTGAATTAATAGCGGATTTTGCTTTTACCTACATAGTTATATGTATTCAGCATAACAGTTTAATATACGTGATGATGCAACTGTACTTCGATTCTAGCCAAAGCTCGACTTTAATTATAAGAACATTCAATGACAACATTAAGTATGCATAAGTGCTGTTTTCGACTCTTTAATGTTTTGATAAGTACGACTAAAAGTAATTAAAAACATCTCCATGAGTTGAGCTCTGCGTCAATCCCCCGACTAGTAACGTCCACGTCTCGGAGCGATTAACTAACAAACAGGTCAAACAAACAAACACAGCTCCGTAGATACTGTCAGCCTCCAAAACCTTATCTGCGCACCTTATTAGACAAAGGTATCGTTATAGGGCTAGCAACGTGGTTAGCTCTGCGACGCTGCTAAGCTAACGTTAACTCACAGACAGCCATAGGCCACAAAAAACTCAGCGGTGTAACCGAAAAAAACCATCACAAACGGACCCAAACCCTGCATTTTAGTCCATGTAGATGCAACAAGCCAGTTTTTTCCAGATTTCATATAGGAAAAGATACAACTTCGATAGATTTTAGCACGACTTTTTACTTACAATAGGCGCCATGGTGAAGAAGCTATCAAAAAGGAAGAGCAAGCGGTGCGCATGCGCTACACATCATACGCCGAAAAATTGATGGAATTCGTTTTGTCCCAAAATCGCTTCATTTCCATTCATCCAATAAACTTTTTAAAAAACACCAATGGATGTTCATAGAACCTCGCAATAGTCCCGGTATTCCTTGTTAACTAGTTTTTACATTAACTGGTTAGATTTGTTTGTTTTCCACTCTCCGTGTTAAAAATGTTGCACCCGCAGATTCGTCATTTTCACGGAACCGTCTGATCGCTCTAACAATATTAAAGACCTCCGCAAAATAAAGTCTCCATCTCCAGCTCGTTCAAATATATACACGTATCGATATTATATTAAGATAACAATTAAATTATTTTAATTAAAAAAAAATCCAAAACACCTTCTGCCTGGTCCGTCTTTTTGTAACATAAACAACGAGTCGACATTTTCCTCACGACAACGATTAGTTTGACGGGCCCGCGGGTTTACCTGTCAGCTGTTAAACACCTGCTGCTGATACAGGAAACACGCCCACGTGACAGTGACAGTTTAACGTGGACAGCTGCTGTTTGGGGTGGGGGAACTCCAGGCCACGAGGGCCGGTGTCCTGCAGGTTTTAGATGTGTCCTTGATCCAACACAGCTGATTGAAATGGCTAAATGACCTCCTCAACATGTCTTGAAGTTCTCCAGAGGCCTGGTAACGAACTAATCATTTGATTCAGGTGTGTTGACCCAGGGTGAGATCTAAAACCTGCAGGACACCGGTCCTCGAGGCCTGAGGTTGGACACCCCTGGTGACGTCAGCCTCCACAAAATAAACAACTGCAGCCCGTTTTCTCAGCGCAGAGCTGCTGGAGCCTGTTTCCTCTCAGAGTGACTGATCTGGGTTAAAAGTAACAAACGGGATTTAACGGGAGGGAGTGATGGACACTGGGCAGCAGATCAGTCAGCTTACAAACAGGAAACCGGGCTGAAATAATCTGTTTCCAGTAGGCTGATAAGTGCTCTTTATTTCAGCATGAGAAATGTCTATAAGTACGTTTTGAGCACTTTGAGCTGATCATCGTCTTAAAACAAAAATAAAACAAAAGCACATTTATTTTCTGAGGGGAGTGTAGTGAGCAATTCACTACAATTCACTACGTTGATTCAATAGAATCACCTGATATTGACTAAACATTGTTTCAATGTCTCCTGGGGACTCTATGAATTAAATTCTCAGTGCCCCGAACTTACAATAAAACATTACAAATACAATTACTCAACATAAGATTCCCCATAACACCTGCCTTTTCATTTCCCCTGATTCATGATGCGCTGGTACCCAAGAAGGTGACCATTAGCCCCATCGTATCAACTCCATAGTGTTTGTTGAATCTCTATCAGATTGTGTGGCCTGCTATCTGAGTGACTATCTTGCAAACTAGCCAATGATGAACTTGAGTCCGAGCATATCACCGATCTTAATGGTCTTGCGTCTTCAAACCACTCGACAGTTAACAGTATGGAAACCATTTCTGATAATAATCTTGCGCTGATGATCCATCTCTGATCTTTTTCCTTACTTTGACATGAAGCTCAGGAACAATAAATGTTATCCTGCTTTAGTTGGATCAATCGCGCACTGCTGACACAGTCTCCACGCACAGCTTAGAGGGAACACTGGTTGGATGTATTCCTTTATGGATCTGTGTAGATTTTAACTGTAATACTGATCAATACATGCCTGCACTGTAGGTGAGTTTAAAAGAAAAACCCAAACCACATGACACTGATGGACAGATAAATGAAAATGACAACATTTCTGCCAACATAAGAGGTCAATAAGATGACACTTTAGTCGTGCACATGTAAGTATGTTTACGCACATTCACCCTGCAGTCAAAATTACATATTTTTCTTTACTCTTTGTCTGTATTGCATGGAGTATAAATACGACATACCTCATAAACATATAATTTGAACTTGCTCACCAACCTTCAACAAACGTTACAAAGTTTGCTAACATTTTCTCAAGTGTAGTTTTCCCCTCCTCTGCTGTTTTAACCAATGGATCATTTTATTCACTTTCAGTCTAAAATAAAATTCTGCCCATTTGTCAGAAGATTCAGCTCATTCAAACACATTATTATTGAGCATCTGTACTTTGGTCAACAGCCTGCTGGCATCCAGCTGAAGGAAGATGTTCTGAAGTACTTCACAGCCGGCTTCAGTTGCTGAGGGTAAATGAGATTCAGTGTTCCTGAATCTGCACATGCAGAATCCATGTAAGAAACAATGCTTTGTCTGTGCTGGCATCGCCTCTCTCAACAGTGATGGTGAAGATGCCACCGGGACAACTTGTTCCAGCTCCCTATTGAGATCATTTATAAAGGAGAGTGCAGCAAGAATATTTTGCACAATTATAAGTTACTCTCTGAAAAACAACATCATACTTCAAACACTGCTATGTGCATAAAAATATGAATATGTAGACCTTCTGAAACATTATTACCATTTGTAACATTAATATACACTTATTAAGCAGTTCATTAGGAAAACTGATGCAATGCAAGAATTGTCATAAATTTGTACTTTTACTAATATTTTATTTTTAGTCCTATTTTCATGTTTTCAGTGGGAGAAACGTTTCACCACCTCTCCGGTCAGGCAGAATTGCCTTATCTGGATGACTGAGCACGCCAGACTGTTTTTTACATCAGTATTGTGTTTACACATAATAATTTGCCCTTTTGTTACATTTTTTCATGCCATCAAAGTATTTTCATTGATAGTACTTGTTTTATCACAGCCATGTACAGCTGTGAGTGTTTGACAGCGCTATGGTCTACAAAGATACATCTTTTTGTGAAATGAATAAAATAATTTTCCTCCATCTCAAAAAGCATCTTTTTTTTTTTGACACTGTAATTTTTATTGATAGTTTTGTCACAGTTTAAACATAGACATGTATTGCATTACAGGAGAAATAACCATGCAAGCACACAGTCAAAACAAACAGAACTAAAGCGAACAAAAGGTGTGGGTGCCAATTCTAATCAACTACCGTATGCATGCCTGCCTTTACTCCGCAGCATACATACTCCAGCTTATATACGTACTTTTATACGGGCATGCATCAATAGATATACAGAGTCATAGACCTTAAATGTTTTGTTCGTTCATTAATTTTCCTTGGTGCCATGTAATGTCCACTTCTCCCACTTAGCAACGAAAATATCTTCCTTTAATCTGAGAATGTAAGTCATTTTTTCCATTGCACAGATTTCTCCAACAATATTTAACCAGTCTTTTGAAGAAGGCGGATCCAGTTTGTACCAGTTTCTTGTTATAGCTTTCTTTGCAGCTATCAATAGGATTTTTGTCAAATACAAGTCATCGTACAGAACATACTCTCTAATATTCCCAAGATATACAGTTTTAAAATTGTGTGGTAATTGATAGCCCAAGATATTGCCTATTACAAGAGTCAGGTTCTTCCAAAAATTATGCAGTTTTAGGCACTCCCAAAACACGTGCGTATGGTGTGCTTCCATGTTACCACATCTTCTCCAGCATGGCAAACTGTCTTGAGTCTGTTTACTTTTGATTTTTGGTGTAATAAAGAATCGAGTAACAAAAAGCATCTTTACTTCTCTGTTCAAAGCAGAGCTCCGTTTACAGAAACAGTGTTTTAGCATCACTTCATTCAAGATCAGAGAAGCAGTGAGGAGAAACAGGGAGGACAGGACGTTCTGGCATAAATCACTTGTTTCTGTTTAAACCAAAATGATCAGGCTCTTTAAAAAATCTCTCTCTAAGCAGCTGTAGACATTTATAATAAGAGCCTGTCAGTGACAGAAAGAAGCACTTTTAATGATTGGATTTTTATCGGCTAACAGTTTCCATAATGGACAAACAGGTGCCTTTGTCACCATTGACAACTGCAGTAGTTTCACTTAAAACTGGATTAATTTCAAAATCTGCCGCTCTCATTTCTATAAGAGTCCTTTATACATCTGCTCATGCCAGCATCTCCACCAATAGCATTCACTCAGGCTTTTTTAGTCTTTCCTGTGGCACGAGACAGGCGTCCCCATTATCCCCCCTATTGTTCACATAGAGCACCTGTCAGTCTTTCTGAGATCCTCCTCTATTTTTAGCTGAATTTCCCAATTAGGCACAGACATTAAGTTATCGCTTTGTGTTGATGATTTATTGCTGTATGTCCCGGATCCTGTTCTCTCCAAATCATTTATTTTATCTGCTTTTCACAGATTTGGTTCATTCTCTGATTATAGAGTGACCATCGCTAAAAGTTAATGCTAGCCTATCATCATTACTGCTCACACATTCTGATGTCCCTTTTTTAAATTAGGCCCCTCTGACTTTTAACATCAAGGATCAATGTAACATTAAATGCTGTTTTCTCTGCTAATTAAACAGGACCTCCAAAGATAGGGAATCTTACTTCTTTCGCTTATTGGTAAAATCAGTGTGATTAAAATGACCATCTGAACAAATCCACACTTCAGAGATGTAAAATTCAGAGGCGGATTGTCACTTCCTAACTTCCTGTTCCATACTGGACAGCGCATATCCACAAAATCTCCTTCTGGTTCAGATCTTTGGACCTTCTATGGCGCAGTGTAGAGCCCCCGTCCTGTTTCTCATCCACTCTAAATGCTTTACTTCTCCTATTCCATCCAACCTCTCTGGCTTAACCCTTAGTTCACTCCACACTGAAAATTTGGCATCAGTCTAGGAGGCATGTCAAATTTAACTCTCTAAGTATCTACGTTATCTCCTTTATTGAGGAATCATCTGTTTCAACCATTTTAGCATGATATAATAAGGGGCTGGCATGTTTTAATGATTTTTACAATGATGGTGTTTTCTGCAGCGTCACAGATCTCTCTCTCTCTCTCTCTCTCTCTCTCAGATCTCCGTCCTTCTGACCTGTTTCAGTGCTTTCAGATTAGACATTGTGCCAAAGTTTTATTCCCAGTTATTTTCTCCACAGCAGTGGGAGGAGCTTATGAGCCAAGACCCTCTTCAAAAGCCAATTAGCTCTAAAGTTTATAATGAAATGTCATTTTTTGATTCCTCACCAGTTACTAAAGGCTGCTTGGGAACGTGAACTGGGTCTAAATTTGGGGGATGACTGGTGAGACAATGCTCTAAAAGAATCACACAGGTTCAGTCTGCGTTCAGCTTTCTCTCATACAGTCCTGCTCTCTAAAACCTGACAGTCACAGATCCATCCCAGTCTCACTGACTCTCTGGCTCATCACTTACTCACTTTTGGCAGAATTATTTCGATTTCATGGG